CCTATACTGCCGTCTACTGATCAGTTGCTAACGGGGTTCGCGATTGAGCCACAATGCACAACGGGACGCGTATGCCTCGTAACACGATCGGTTAGTGACACCGCTACCATTGTTCATGTGTCCGATCGCAAACGACGGGACAACGAAACTGTAGCTCAATTGCTAGGGCGTTAGTTTTCTAAACAACAGGTTGTGACTTCGAGCCTCAGGAGTTACAAAACCTGGGTTTTGGTATGGCTGGCTACTAATGTGGGAGTCTGTCTGTTTATGACCGCCGCGCACTTGGCAACCTATACGAGAGGCCGTATGGTCCCCCCGTCTGGTTACAGCAAGCCCTGCGCAAGTTCCAGCCAATCGATAGGCGCCTGTCCACCCGGTTGGCTGCACCTTCCCACTAGGCCCAATCCGCAGGCAAGGTGGAACACAAATTGGCGAACACAGACAGACAGCGTGAGTCAGCAACGGCAGGCTCCCACACTAAGACGGAAAATAGTCATCCCAGTTTCGCTTGGCTTTGCTGGTAAAGTCATTATATCTAGCAAACCATAGCAACGCCAACCTAACAAATGACATCTGCTGCACAATCTGCTTGCGAGGCGGCATGATCGTCAATACGTGCTTCTGATGAAGTCTGAACGTCACGCCAAAGGTTTTCTTGACCCCATCTCGAAACCCGGGTGGCAAACCCAACAAAGTATGCAACTCCAAAGAAATGACGCGCCCACATAACTGAAAATGGTTGATTTGGGTCTGACTGAACGGAGACACATTTTTGAAAAAAAATTTAACCAGATCTCGGATCATATTTAGACACTTGGAGGTCAAAGATGGGGAAAACAACTGGAAGCGTCTGTGTGACGGCCACAGAAAACACCGGAACTGGCTGGAAGAAAACAGTGGGGAAGAAGATAAAATGGTCTCCATAGAGCGCAAAATCGAGCTTTGTTGTTCCATTACCGGGGCACACTGCAACGAATACTGCGAAAGATACCAAATGACCCGTTAGATCACCAAGGAGACGGCATCCAAGGATACGTAGATAGCACTGATATTAGCAAATTCTGTGCTGCTGTAGGGGCCTTCGGTGGTCCCTAATCAACCAATGACAAACACAATGACCTTTGGCTTCCATATTCTGTGTTGAAGCTTTTCCTGGAAAAGGGAACCAGCCGCACGGGCAACCAGAAACTCCAGTGACAAAGAACCAAATTGCGGATTAATGATCACGCCAGCGTCCAATTTGACTGATTAAATTGCGGAAATTAGCGACTCGGATGCGGACTGACAGATAATCATCGCATTAAGTGTAACAGCAGAGGTGATCGGCAGAATTACTAATTAAAGTGGTAGATGATATTGATGATTGCTCACCGAAGGGTTACGGAACCCACTCATTCCGTTTTGCCTCGAGGCTCACTCTCGAACCCTGCCTTCAGCCACTCAACAGCGGGCACGTTATAGGCAGAAGGACATTACTAACTTTACCTTGTCTTCGTCAGAAATGTCTTTTTGCAAATTATAGTATGCACGAGGTCACGTTGCAACTACGTCCTACAAATACTGCACTACTTGTGCATCCACGAGCATTATGTGTAACTGTCTCTGACGATGGGTTTAATTGAGAATCCGAAACATCAGGTCATGAAAGTTCTTGTACCAGCAGTTGTATCATCTTCTGAACTGCTTCCTGGAACTCATATTTTCGCTTATATTGCACGGATTTGTGCACACAAAGTCGAGCCGATAGAAGTTTCCAGTCTTTACTGCATTTATCTCACGCGTAACTGCGAGTCTTCAGGTCAAATAAGCAAGCCTTTCAAATTCATAGATGCGGGCATGTGGCTTCTTTCTGATTCAGGTCGCCAAGAAAGGGCATAGAACTCCGGAAAGAATGAGAGCACATTATTCCTCTGAACCGCATCTGCGATAAGTACTCCATTAAGTATTGGATTTTGTCTCTACCTGATTGAAAACGAAAACCGAGGGCTAGCAACGATTTACTCGACTTACTCCGGGTGTCTGGGCGAAAGTCAGTTGCTTAAAACTCCCTTGCAACCAAAATCATGGGCCCGTCACGCCTTACACATGCCAACACACTACGTACCTGACAATTAATAAGGGGCAAATTGACCAAAAACGGAGACGGTACATACATTTTGCGAAGCCGCTTAGACATTGAATCCATCAACGGCAGCCTACTCGAGCCTAATACCCACATAGTGTGAGCTGAACCGGTGTGATGACACACTTAGGGGCGGATTCTCCCTGCGCCAGCCACCTGCACCCTCTTCCGCCACTGGTCATCTGGACTTGGTTAGGACACCAGGTCTGGATGGGGGAGAAGATGCGGTAGATGTCATCGGTTTCGACGAGGCCCACCGCGGGCTTCAGCAAGTTGAAGGCAAATGCGGACTTACGCGCGAATTGATTTTGTGTGGTAGTAGACTTTCGTTGCATTAACCAGTCTCTTCCCCCTCCTGGATCCGGTACATGACCACGTCAAAAAGCCGGAAGGCGAGAGATAACACCGATAGCTGGCGTGGCTGGAGCCGGTCCTAAGTCTGCTACACA